TTCAATATTATTGTTTTCTTAATTTTTTCAAACATTATTATTTATATTATCGTAACTTTTAAAAATTATAACTTCTCATTATTCCTACTGATGTTACTTGTTCCAATTAATAAATTGAATTTAAAATGATGAGATTGGCTAGAAAAAACTAAAAGTGTAAGATTCATGAAAATGGAAGATCTGGAATGTTGAGATTTATGTGCAAATAAATGCGGATTAATAAATAAATACAAATAAATAAATAATACTTTATTTTAGTTTTTTTGATGTACGTTTTCAGAAAAATTCCATTGAGCTTTCAACTAATACAAATTATTACACACTACTTTTAATGGTAAAATAGAAAAATAAAATTAACACAAAAATATATTTTTAAAAGAAACTGACTTGTATATTTTAAAAAAAATATATAAACGATTCGTTTATGTTATCATAATTATATATTTACTTTGGTTCTACGGAAATTAAGTCCCAAGTTAAGAAATATTGTGGGTCTTATCAGGCTTCAACTTATTTCCCCAAGGATCTTTCCAGCGTTTATCAGCAGCAGCTTTAAGCATAGCCATTTTTCAATCCCTCGATTAACGTCTGGTATATACGTAATTCTTTTAAAAATAAATATAACAATACTAAATAGTACTGAGATGTTTTATTTTAATTGCAGGTATTTATTATTGTTATATACAGGGTGTCTAAGTGAAGGGTAATACAAAAATAGAAGATCTCAATGGCTACAATAAAGTTTATATAAAGATTTTCAACAGAATTGTAGAAAATTTAAATAAAATATAGAGACCGGCTGATCGCTTAAATTATTATCATGAAAATGTAAATATTAGGATTGGAAACATTTAGTTGGTCTATAAACAGGAATATAAACATATAAAAAGGAATCGATGCCTACCTATATAATAGAGATCCACAGTTTCATTTTATATAAAAGGAATAATATTTTTATATAAAATATTTATCATTAGTTTAGATAATAAATATTTTAAAAAATGATTATTTTTAACATTTTTTTAAAAAGAAATAAAAAGAGTGTTTAGGGATTAATCTTTATTATAATGCATTCCAGATGATAAAAAAAAAAATTAATGAGTATTTCAGGTGAAAGGGTATAAAATTACCTCATTTTTTTACATAACTATAGGTGAATCTAAACTTATTTCGTAATATATCCCAACTTAAGCTTATATTATTTTATCTCATCTTAAGCTTATTAAATAAGAAAGTTTTTCTTAAACGGGGTATCTGGAGTTTATGTGGATGGTGATAAAATAAAAATCGCAAATAATTGAAGAATGTTTTTAATACAGAACATATAGTGTTCTATGCATGTGTTCTTTTTATTTATTTATTTTTAGGTTATTTTATTCTTATTTATTGTATATATATTATTTTTCTGTATAATTTATTTATTTTATTGTACATAGAGTGTGAATGTGATCTCTGAACACTATTACAATGACAGATTGTAATATTTTTCTATAAATTAAAAAAAGATATATAGAATATAGATTAGCTTAGCCTCTCAAAAGTCCTCTTTGAATCGTTTTAACAATGAAGAAATAAACTTTCATTTGGAGCAAATTTTTGTATTTGCTACAGTTTACTATATAGTTAACGCTTCGAGATCCCTTTTATCTCCTCATCAGAACCATCATTGGCAATTATTTATATAAAATTTCCATTTGTGGTCCTTTGTGTTATTTTACATATTCATCACAGGTGTTATCTACATCCACCAAATCACCTGATTAAAAGATTCACAAAGTTAATCAGGTATAAGGTGGCTCTGGATAACACCTTAGATGAATATATAAATTGAGATGAAGGACCACAAATGGAAATTTTATACAAAAGAATGCCAAATATGGTCCTGATGAGGAGATGAAATAGATCTCGAAACGTTAGCTATATAGTAAACTGTAGCAAATAAAAAAAATTGTTATTCAATTTATGGGAGAAATTAAATTTCCTACTTTTTTGTCGAACTATTGCTTACATGAACTTTTTCGTTGCTTTTGAGATCTGCTATCACTCTATATTTCCTAATATATAAATATTTCCTAAATTATTGGAGGAAGTTAAATTATTGTTCTACATATCATGGGTGATAAATATTCAGGACGCAGTCATTATAAAATTTTTATTAGTGCCGACGTTTCAACCCAAACATGTGGGTCATTCATCATAAGGGCCTGTTTCAAGCACTTAAGATATTCAAGTACACTGTATAGTGAAGGTATTCAAGTATTGATTACTTGAACACCTTCAGTGCTCGAAACACGGCCTGATGATGACCCACACGTTTACGTTGAAACGTCGGCACTAATAAAAATAAATAAACATTTTCTTCTGCTTACAGGACACTCCGAACATGAACATATTATTCAAACATAATATTTTTTTTTTTCCTGAACTCTCATCTCTGATTCCTTCGGGTCTGAATGAAGGTGGAAACCCTATAGATAGTATACCGAAATAAAATACGAATGGAGAAAACCTCACTGAATGAAATATGTAGGCAAGCCTTCCTGCCTTAGCTGGAATATATAAAAGCGTGAAATCTAAGAAACCAACATCCACAAATAAATTAGATAAACTCAGACCGCAGGGGTTATCGAAGTATATAAAAGGCCGCGTTAGATTATGAAAAGGCTGGAAAAACTGAAATAAGCGAGATGGTGTTTCTCCAGTCGAGGAAACCCAATTTTCCAGATTTTCCTAACTCTTCATTCAGTTAGTGTGCGTGGGTTCCTGCCTGTCCCTCCAGCTCCGGGATAAAGGGATTTTCAAAACTTTTCTCTATTTGTTTTTGCTTAGGACTCCATTTCTCAGTCCTCAGGGTAAGATACCGGTTTTATGACCCAACTTTTTCTGTACTTCTTCTTTTTACTTTATTTGTAAAGAACGTTACAACAGAAATAATGGTTTTTAGGACCTATCAATGAAATATATCAACTGAAAAATAAAATTTAACCATATATATATATATATATATATATATATATATATATATATATATATATATATATATATATATATATATATATATATATATATTATAATAGTAATAATAAGCTTTAACGACGAAAGCCTCTTCCTAAGGAGCAATTTTAACGAAGTTGACTACAGCACAGAATAATATGTTTAAATTATTACAATCATTTTTTTAAATGTTTAAAACAAAACAAAACAGATATCTTTTTTTTTTTGTAAAATAGCCATGAAAGGTCTAAGACAAACAAAACAAAACAAAGCCATACAGTAAATAGAACAGTCATATATATATATATATATATATATATATATATATATATATATATATATATATATATACATATATAATTTTATAACGTTTTAGGCCATAAGTGAGGGCTAAAGGCCTCTGTGAACTAGCTGCTGAATTTATAAAAAGTTGAAAATTATTAGTTGAATATACGTATGTGAGTATATGTATTTAGTGATAAATAAAAACAGCTACAGTAAAATATAAACAATTGTTGCGATCTTTATTAGCAGTGCCTAATCATACTGTATATATATATATATATATATATATATTTTTTTTTTTTTTTTTTTCAAATCTGCTACCTCTAATGATACTCTCAGACCTATAATTTCTATATCAGACCTATCTAACTTATATATATACCTATAAACCTGTATATCTATACCTTATTAGATGATAACTGTGTTTATTTGCTATTTCTAATAATTTTATATTAAAAACGTTTTTCATAATTCACTTATTTATTTTAGATTAAATTATTCAAAGTATTAAATAAATGTAAAATAACAAATACCAAAATGAATGGAAATGAAATATCACGAAATTAATGCTATGAAAATATTTAAAACAACTGGATATTGGAAAAAAAATGCTTAATTTTTAACATGTTATCTTTATCTTTAACATGTTAAATAGCCATGTTGTATCAAATTGTATGTTATATGGAACTTTAAATTTAGACTATAAAAAAGCAAAAATAAAACCTTTAAAAATGGCTCATATCCTAAAACAGGAAACCTTTTTAACATTAGATACCACAGTAATATTAGGCAGTGCTAATGAATATCGCAACAATTGTTTATATTTTAATGTAGCTATTTTTATTTATCACTAAATACACACACACACACACACACACACACACATATACATATGTATATATATATATATATATATATATATATATATATATATATATATATATATATATATATATATATATATTCAACAAATAATTTTCAAATTTTCATAGCTTCAGCAGCTAGTTCATGGAGGCCTTTATCCCTCACTAATAGCCTAAAACGTTATAAAACTATGAATAAAACGTTTTTTTAGCAAGTTGTGGAAATATTATGGTATTTTTGTAAGCTTAATTGAAACTGATTTATACAAAATGCCTTTTTTGAAAAATAAATACAATCAAACATACACACAAAACACAATCTGTAAGTGATGGTTATGATACTCAAGATTTTTAAATATATAATATGGAAAACTGATTTTCAAATGTATATACCTCTAATGATAGTCTCAGACCTATAACTTAAACATGTCATGTTACGTCTTATCTAACAGATAATAAAATTCAGTCTGCAAGACGTGACTAGACGTGTTGATGTTTCTGTTATGTCTCTTTCATCATTTAACAGACCTTATAGACTTGAAATAATTAGCATAGCTTGATATAATCACGGAAATTTCAGATTTAAAGTTATGATTTAAAACTAATATTACTCTAAAAAATAGGTTGTTGTCTATATTTTGTCAATTTTTTTGACAAAAATGGAAATGATATCTTTAGTTATAAGATGGAAGTGTGTCAGTCTGGTCTGACTGATTCTCAGATGCGTAATGAGGACTAAATAATACCTAATCTTACAAAGAATTTATTCAAAATATATAAATATTATAAAAAAAAAGGAAAATGTATTTTCTTAATATATAACTATAATTAGTAAAATAATTATATGTCACTACTCACCCATAAAGCAATGCAGCACCCGCAATACCTCCTCCACACTGCGATATCACGAACATTATACCTCTCAGAAAAGAGATATGCCTTGTCAACGCCATTGCGATACTAACAGCCGGGTTCACTTGTGCACCTGTTAATAAAATTAAAATATTAATTAAAATAATTTTAAAAAATAATATTAAAAATTAAACACATTAAAATCCTATTATTATTGATTTTGCAGAGTTTAAGAAGACTATTTTAGTTTTTATAAATATTTAACACCCTTTGATAACACCCACACAGTCTGCATTGCATCCTTGTTCAACAACAGGAAACGTCTGAAGACCACTTTGTCAAGCGTAACAGTACGCAAATCGACTCGGTGTTCCGCCCACGGTTATGAACAACAAGGAAAGCGTTTAACATTTCCACAAGAGCTTCCATTGTTAATTGCGTTCATACACTGGGCTGAGTACAATGGATAAGATGCAAATAATTGAGAATACTTGTACAGTTCAATAGTGATAAATAATTATTTATAACAGAAAGTAAATAATTTATTAAGCGAAAATCACAAATGAGGTGTAATGGAGAATTATGAAGCTATTATATGAAACCTGACTGCCAGCAGATAGTTACGCGCTATAGTATACTTAAGGCGCCTGGGAAGCTTATAGATATATTTGGAAAGTGAAATTAAATTAACCATAGTTTTTTTTTTTTGTTAATTAGGAACAAGCTTTTTGATCTATATGTAATTAAATGTTTATATTTTTTTATCTTTAAATTTTCATCTGAACATAAATTAGATATTCAGCACAAGTGTTTATAGTATAATTATATTATACATATATTATTTGAGTTTTTTAATATAAAATATTAAAAATAAATTGCAACAAGCCTTTAGAAGAGCAAGATCAGTAGATATCTTATAGCATTAACTTGAGTAAGAACATAGAAAAACTTTAAAGGCATTAAAAGATCAATTTATTTTTTTATTTGGCGCTATAGACCATGTAGATTTTTGGCACTAGATATGGCCTTCTTCAAGACCCATATTGCTTGCGGTAGCACAGACAGCTTGGTGGGCGTCACACAACTTCAAGTTGCTAGGGAATATGGACTCCATAGATTCAAAGACGATCCCTTTAGGGCCTATCAGTATTCTTTCTCACAGAAGAACTCGAGTTTAAGTATAGCGACGAATCGGTCCAGATTCATGGATTATGGCTGCTAAGGGTCAGCAAGCGCAGTTTAGATCCACTACTATAGGTACTGGCATCCTGAAAAACTACTTCTCCATTAACGATTAAAGTACATGAGGGAGGATTATCAGTCCTACATCCAGTCCATTCGAGTCGCCTCTGTGATCTCGAACAACGTGGCTTTTCTTATTGACAGTCACCCATCCAAGTACTTACCGAGCTCGACTTTGTTTAACTTCAATTATCTGTTAAAAACGGATAAGCCCACTCGGTTATCCCGGTCCCTATACACACACACGTGTTTCTGTCTATGTTTTGATGTTACTTATATTTTAACAACTTTGAATTGATATTTACAACTGTATAAAATAAATACATCAAGTAAATTTGGATATAATGACATCAAAATACTTGATGAGTAACTACCCAATGGTAGCACTCTAATGATATGTCTACATTACGAGATCACCATCTTCTTTTCAGACGCCTCGGAGGGTTATCAGAAATTGAAGAGGAAGCAAGGTTAGAAACGAGAGGGTTGGAGATGATTCTGAAGTTTATTATAAAAGGATAGGTATCTGGATTGGACCAGATCTCAAATAAAAGAAAGGTTAAGGTCATTATGGATGGTTTTATTTGTAATAAAATAGGGAGCATTGAGGATTTTACGATGGATTTTGGACTGTAAGGATTTGATGGATTAGTGGAGCCCCATAGCTCAACTCCGTAAGTCGAAATAGGCCTTATTATAGTCATGTATATGAGTCTTTTGTAATATATAGAAATTTTAGAGCGTTTTACTAGTAAGTGCTGAAGTAATTGGAAACGTCGAGCAGTTTCTTGTCGTTTCAGTCTAGTATACATTACATTTTAAGATTTATTTTGTTTTAATTATTTTTAGGACCTTTACAAACATTTTGGAATGCTTACTAATTAATCTGTCCTTATTACATAATTATTTGTTGTTCAATATAATTAGTTCCTCTTCTCTTGCATACATCAGCTAACACCTATCGGGGGTTCTTCCTGGTTCCTCTTCACCACTAACTTGCCAATTATCCTCCATCTCGTAAATCGCAATGATAAAAAGAAGACCTGTGAGCGCCGTTACTGCAGGTGTAGGGTTCCATGAATATTTCAAGTCCCTTTGGTACTTAGCAGCGAGGCCCCGGGGAATGCATTAGTAGCTGGGGGGCGCTCCCTCGCGGATTTACATGTTATACATCTTGTTTTATGTCTCGTATGGCGCCTGTTTGTTGTGCCCTAAGGGTTACGCGATTATGGCCGAATGGGTTCAAATAAATTTCTGCTAATCCTTCTAAATGTGTCTTATAAATTCTCGTTCTTGCAACTGAGATCTCTAGCTATGATTCACCGAATTTTCAAGTCGCAACATTGTTATACTACCGTGAAAGAAATTATTTTAACTTCATCTTTAAAGAAAGCAATAATAACGCATTAGAAAAATTAAACTGTCACACAATGTTTATTACACAATCTGTATCTGCACATTATATGATTACTAAGCTATACATACAATATAACTAACGTAAGATTTGTATTAATGTACCAAAACTTCAGATTGTTTCATATTATTATTTTATTTATTTATTTTAAATCACATTAATATTTAGTTGTAAAAAATTTTCTTGATCGTAATACTTACGCTTACTATATATTACATATATACGCAAGTGAAAGTAATAATAAATCAAAAATATTTTAAAATCGCGATATCTCTAATAATAGTAATTTAATTTCGATGAAACTTCTTTTATTTTTCAGGAAATTTAAATATCTTTGAATCATATTCTCACAAAATCGACAAAAAATGTATACTTTTTGAGTTATTCGGAATTTAATTTTACCATCCCTCGTAACTGTTTTTCCAGCTTCTTTTCGTTGAAGTAGGTTATATAGATAAATTTAAAGGGTGTCGAGAAAATGACTTTAGCGAAGTTTCATTGAAATCGGTACATTCGTTTAGGCGCTACAGTCTATAGCAACGCAGGTTTTTCTGCATTTTATTTTTTTCTCCTTTATTAACTTATCAAATTTTTTCAAAAGTTATATTTAGCATTTTTTCGTAACTCTAATAATGTGAAATGATTAACTTTTTAAAATAAACCATATTAAAGGTACTTTAGAGGAAGAATATATGAACATTGGCATTTAAGCCTGTAAAGTGACATCAATGGGATAAGACCTAATTGATATTAAATACCACTTAATTATACAATGATACACCGAGTTTAATAAAAATCATTAGAGCCGTTTTTGAGAAAATTGAGGGAAAAGTTGCTGTCTACTTATCTTAAATACGTAATATCAATTTCGTAGGACTTTTCGTTTTCGTGCTAGAGTGTTCATATACACACAGACCAAAACGTGTATTTCCAAGGCCAGATCATGTTTGAATTTGTATAATTGTGTCAATACTTATACGAAAAACAACTAAAATTAGATTTAATTTTTGTCAAAAATTGTTTTATTTTATTTTGACTAATAATTTTAAGGTGATGCCAATGGATGGTTACATTATTTTTAACAACATTAATTATTGTACTAATATTAAAATTCAAGCCAGAGTAAATAAATGATTAAAGAATAGATAAACAAAAACCATTTTTTTTTAAAATATTTTAAATAATAGATTTAGATTCAGTTTGGAATACATGGGATACTATATACGCTTGTCGGAGCCCAAATTGTTTCTCCAGATTTTTGGTATTATATTTATGACATTCTAAAAAATATGATTTTTACTACAATTGAGTGGAAATTAATATAATAATAAAAAGTATGGTTCTAACAGGTACGCGCATTATGACGAAAAAATTTAAAATTAAAGTTAAAATGATTTGATTATAAATATTATGAACAACTACATGGCAGCAAATATAAAAACAATATCCTTTTAAATATTTTTTGAATGATATATTTTTTTATTACACGCAGTGGTTTAGGGGTAGCCCACCCATATATATATAGTTTGTAAAACTTAGTTTTCATAGTCACTGGAGCTACAGATGGCCCCACTTACATCTCCTAATAAATATTTTGATAAATTTTGGCCTTTCCCGGAGTGACCAAAAGAAGACGTATGACAGATCCTCTCCATCATCAGGATGTTCCTGGAAGCTAAAATGCTGTAAGGCCCCGACTGCTGGAAGCCGTGGGAAGAGACCGGGTGACTCTGCAGTTCGACACAGATTCCACGGTAATCTCCTCCAATCTCGACAATACAAACAGAACGCGCTCCATGAGTTCTCCAAGTCGTGTTTTGTAGCACAGTCATCTGAAGATACGCATGGCAACGTAACTTGCAAGTTTTACTTTGAGAGGTGATAATAATTTAAATAAATAATATACATTAATATATTATATTAAGCGTTCTTTTAATCGACACTATATACAATACGGTACTATAAATCTATTTTCTGGCTCTCACGAATAACGTATTTCGATGAATGAGGTATCAAATAAGATATATTTTATGGAGAAGTGACAAATGCCAATATCAAAAAATAAACACCTCCCCCCCTGGAAGCTGAAAAAAAAATCCAAAAAAGTTATAAAAACTCGTATTTAAAGAAAAGTGCAATATAGAGAAAATTCGTTCTCATAGGCTAATTTACTAATGTAATATAAAAAAAAACATTATTATCGTGACCATCACTAGAGAATTCTGCCAAGGGCCCTCCTTTGGACGGTGGGAAAAAAATTCCAAAAAGTACCTATTTTAAGGAAAGAAAAACATAGGGAAATTCATCCTCATAGGCGTATTCCATAATGTAATAGAATATATATATATATATATATATATTATCATGACCAGCAATAGCGAATTCCGTTTTTTTTTTTTTTTTTTTTTTACATTTCTTCATATACAGAGCGTCCCGTAAGTAAAGGTAAATATTTAAAGGAGTGATAACAGAACTCAAGAAATACAAAAAAAGTTTATACAAACAAAGGTTCGATTCTCAGCAGGAAAGTAGGAAATTAAAGTTTTGTGATTTTTTAAGTAAGTCACGATTTTTGGTGAATATGAAGTGATAACTAAAAACTAGGTTTCACTAATATCGTTTGTACGTTATAATCGAAAATTTAAATTTTATTTCATCTTAGGGCCATACCTCAAATTGAGATACAGTTTAAATATATATATCCGATCTAATAACAGGTTGGCTGGCTGTGGAAAAAAATAAAATAAAATAAAAATAAAAATATTATATAAAAAATGTTTCATCCTTTGATCCAGGAGGACTCGTACAAACATGGGATAAAATGGGTCAAACAATAGGAAAAAGAGATGCTTCCCTGAGCGTAACATCAAAGGAGGCTAAAGAGCAGGTCGTTTTGCAAAGGTCGTTATTTTCAGATGTCACAGCTTCTTTTTTTACGAATTAAAATTTTTCTATTTCATGATATGTCAAATCGAAAATACCGTCTAAAAAATAAAAAAGATTAAAGGAAAATGCGTTTATTTATACCAACAGATTCTTAAGAATATGACCTATATATATATATATATATATATATATATATATATATAAAAATGAAGTAAGTTTTAATGTTATCATTAACAATTCAAACTCAACTTTTAATTGGGTTATTTAATAAGGTCTGTACCTAAGACTACAGTATTTTTGATTTACCAAGTTTACAGAAATATGTCACCATTTGACGGGACCTTCATCTTTCTCGATTTTGTGAACGACTTCCAGATTGAAAATATCCACTTTCTTTTTAGATTAAAATGTAGTAAGGTACGTTAAAATGAAGTTCACGAAGTCATAGACGAGTGTTATAATAATTTGATGAAAATCTCGGGTTGACTTTTTTTTTTGTAGAAATATATTTCCACCGTTATTGAAATCACTGCCTATAAAAATGATAAAATTATGTATAACATAATTCTGATAACGGATCAACGCTATTATTGCTCTAATTATAAAATTCATCAAGATAAAATTAGTGAAGGAAAGATAAGCACTGAGTTAGTAAACACTATAAGCAGGTGCTTGTAATATCATAACAGACTATTTACAACGATTTGCATAAGTAAACATGGCTATAGAGCCAGCAAGGAGTACCTACTGAATTCATTTACATTTTTATGAACCAAAAGAGCCTTCGTGCGGCATCATACTTCTCAAGGTCATTTTAAAATCCGCTTAGGACCTTAATACTTATTCACAAATTAACGCTGAATAAATTAATTTTATTAGGAATAATTATAATCCGCAAATAACCGAATCAATATGTTAATTAATTACTTTTACATAGAGACTTTAAAACGAAATTTTTAAGCATATCATATAAATCGTACCTATAGTAAACTAACAAGAAATAATCAGATAGATTGGCCCATTTTCGGCAAGGATAAGACTGGTATTTACCATAACTTTAAAAATCAGCTGTATTGAATTCAACTGATAAAAAAATATTTACACATTATTTAATGCAGTGAGTCTATACATTGAAAATCTATGTATCTCGATTTTTTTTTCTTCATAAAAACTAAAATCTCATAATAGGTTCAGCCCATCCATACAATCCAAAAAATAAGAAAACAATGATGAGAATACACCTTAAATCCGTTCATAAGAAACATCCTGTATAAACAGGATGTTTCGTAATTGCGAGGCACTATTTTAGGTATGTGTTCACTAACACAAAATAAACAAAAAAATTCATATCAAAATATATCTCAAACTCATTTATTAAACAGATATCAAAGATTAAAGATTTATTATTTATTTGCTACATTAAGACTAACTGAACAAAGTTTAACGTGTTTAATAACAAGTTTTAATCACCAGATAAACAAATGAACGATAAGCAATGACAGTAGTTGCTCTGTTTGTCTAGTTTTGAGTGTTTTAGTGTAAGTGCAATTTATGATTATCATGGGTCATCACAATAAATGGGTGATCATCACAATAAACCATCAATTTATTCATTTTTGTGGAACAGACAGACATGTTTTCAACTTATGGTGAGGTACATAGAAACGGTGCTGCTGCTGTTAGAAGATATCGTGAAAATTTTCCTAACCGAAGAATACTAAATAGTAAAACGTGTGAGGGCATAAATAAATAGTAATAATAAATAATAAATCTTTAATCTTTGATATCTGTTTAATAAATGAGTTTGAGATATAAGTCAATATGAACTTTTTTTGTTTATTTTGTGTTAGTGAACACATACTAAAATAGTGCCGTGCAATTACGAAACACTCTATATAATTCCTTTTGGATTTGGGAAATTCTTGAGGACCATACTGAAACTGATATTTTGAATATAATATTAAAGCTAATATAAGTAACGAAGCTTGATTAAAAATATATACTGCGATATTGTACTCAGTATTTAGGATTAATAAAGCCTGGCTACAAAATTCTATTTCAGCCAACAAAATAATTATAATAACTATTTGCATAAGTGTTGAAAAAAATAGTTATTCAATGATATTCTTATCAAACGCATAAAGAATATCCTATAAGATTAGGCTGTAAAAAATAATATTTAATTTAAGCAATATATATACCAAAAATAAAAAGATTATTAATGACAAAAAAAAAAATGTTAAGCTTTCTTCTGTTAAGTTCTGAAACATTCTTAAGCATTGAACCTAGTTTTTGCATATTTTAGAAATTGTTATATTATACCAACTACTTAACAATTCCCTACACTTAAATAGCTATAAATATTAAATAAATAAATATGAATGCAAAAGTTTAAGACTATTCATCATCCAAAAAATGTAGCTAGAAATAATATTTTAAAAAAGACAGCCCCCCTTAATTTTCACCGAGCTGTCTTAGTAGGGTGCCCCCATCCACAATAGAAAAAACGAACACTCCCTTCCGGAGCCTTAATGACAGTAATCAGGCCCTTAACGCACCGACGATTTCACGGACAATTTACTTCGTGATTTAAAAATATATTATGTAAATCAATTATATTATACACTCAGTATAAACGAATTATTTAATACAACCATCCCGACCGCTCCTCTGACGTGGAATGGGCATTTTAATCACCTATTATCTTCTTTTCACTAATATATTTTGAATTTTTACTAATCTATGTCTATTCAAATATTAATACTAGATTTATATTTATATGATTTCAGAAAAAAATATTATAAAATAATAAAATGACATATCGTCGGTTTCGACGTGAAACTGTGTAATGACCTGCAGTACAGACTCCTTTTAATCAAAAACCCATTTTTTGGGGTGATAAATATTCAGCAAGCAGTCTTTTTTTTTTAATTTTTAAATTTTTATTTGTGCCAACGTTTCAATCCAAACACGTGGGTCCTCTTCAGGGCGTAGTACACTCCCATCCCCAAGTATAGGACTTGAACACCCTCAGTGCCCAAACCACGCCCTGAAGATGACCCACATGTTTGCGTTGAAACGTTGGCACAAATAAAAAATTAAACATTTTTTAAAAACCGACTGCCTTCTGAATATTTATCACCCATGATATGAAGAACAATCGACTAGCTTCCTTCAAAAAACATTTTTTATTAACACTCATGTAAAACTTAGTGAACAGCTTTATTTTATCGTACAACGTTTTTATCTAAGAATATTATTAGAAATGGTGCGTTTCAATCAAGAGATCGGTAAACGTCAATTTATTTATTTGTAGTCTCAACCTCTTACGGGCCGTTTTAGCCCTTACACAGTATTTATATTACATTAGATGAAATTTAACAATAAATTTGAAAGTACAAAATATTTGTGGGCGTGTTGCCCGACAACCATATAATCAAAAGTTGGAGACAATAAAATTATGAGTTCGCGTCCCGATGTCTTGGGAGTATTTTAAATTCCACGAATTCATATTTTGACCAGGGAAAAAAAACCGTATAGCCTAAAGAGGCGAGGTAGGGAAGAACGAGAGAAAAAAAAAAAGAATTACAAAATATTTAAAACATTAAAATTTCCAAAAAAGAAGTGTAAGCAAAATTTAAATTTTATTATATAGGAGCGTTATTTGAAGAAATATAAACAATTTTTTTGCCAATTTGGTGGTGTTTTTCAAAATTTCAGTAATATCATTCTCCAATTCAACTTCATTCCGTTGTGCTACATATGCATAATATTCAGTCAAAATGTGCCTCACTGTTAAATTGACCCCGCAGCAGAGACACTGAAGTTGTGTCCCCTTTGTCATTCGTACGCATGAGTACTTGAACACCCTCAGTGCTCAAACCATGCCCTGAAGATGACCCACATGTTTGGGTTGAAACGTTGGCAAAAATAAAAAAATACTGAT